TGAATAGTATAGAAGGAAAACAGTATCTGAAGACATAAACACTACTGAATAGTATAGAAGGAAAACAGTATCTGAAGCCATAATCACTACTGAATAGTATAGAAGGAAAACAGTATCTGTAGACAAACACTACTGAATAGTATAGAAGGAAAACAGTATCTGAAGACATAAAGACTACTGAATAGTATAGAAGGAAAACAGTATCTGAAGACATAATCACTACTGAATAGTATAGAAGGAAAACAGTATCTGAAGACAAACACTACTGAATAGTATAGAAGGAAAACGGTATCTGAAGACATAAACACTACTGAATAGTATAGAAGGAAAACAGTATCTGAAGATGTAAACACTACAGAATAGTATAGAAGGAAAACAGTATCTGAAGACATAAACACTACTGAATAGTATAGAAGGAAAACAGTATCTGAAGACATAATCACTACTGAATAGTATAGAAGGAAAACAGTATCTGAAGACATAATCACTACTGAATAGTATAGAAGGAAAACAGTATCTGAAGACATAATCACTACTGAATAGTATAGAAGGAAAACAGTATCTGAAGACATAATCACTACTGAATAGTATAGAAGGAAAACAGTATCTGAAGACATAAACACTACTGAATAGTATAGAAGGGAAACAGTATCTGAAGATGTAAACACTACTGAATAGTATAGAAGGAAAACGGTATCTGAAGACATAAAGACTACTGAATAGTATAGAAGGAAAACAGTATCTGAAGATGTAAACACTACAGAATAGTATAGAAGGAAAACAGTATCTGAAGACATAAACACTACTGAATAGTATAGAAGGAAAACAGTATCTGAAGACATAATCACTACTGAATAGTATAGAAGGAAAACAGTATCTGAAGACATAATCACTACTGAATAGTATAGAAGGAAAACAGTATCTGAAGACATAATCACTACTGAATAGTATAGAAGGAAAACAGTATCTGAAGACATAATCACTACTGAATAGTATAGAAGGAAAACAGTATCTGAAGACATAAACACTACTGAATAGTATAGAAGGGAAACAGTATCTGAAGACATAAACACTACTGAATAGTATAGAAGGAAAACGGTATCTGAAGACATAAAGACTACTGAATAGTATAGAAGGAAAACAGTATCTGAAGACAAACACTACTGAATAGTATAGAAGGAAAACAGTATCTGAAGACATAAACACTACTGAATAGTATAGAAGGAAAACGGTATCTGAAGACATAAAGACTACTGAATAGTATAGAAGGAAAACAGTATCTGAAGACATAAACACTACTGAATAGTATAGAAGGAAAACGGTATCTGAAGACATAAACACTACTGAATAGTATAGAAGGAAAACAGTATCTGAAGACATAATCACTACTGAATAGTATAGAAGGAAAACAGTATCTGAAGATGTAATCACTACTGAATAGTATAGAAGGAAAACAGTATCTGAAGACATAATCACTACTGAATAGTATAGAAGGAAAACAGTATCTGAAGCCATAATCACTACTGAATAGTATAGAAGGAAAACAGTATCTGAAGCCATAATCACTACTGAATAGTATAGAAGGAAAACAGTATCTGAAGACATAATCACTACTGAATAGTATAGAAGGAAAACAGTATCTGAAGACATAATCACTACTGAATAGTATAGAAGGAAAACAGTATCTGAAGATGTAAACACTACTGAATAGTATAGAAGGAAAACGGTATCTGAAGACATAAACACTACTGAATAGTATAGAAGGAAAACGGTATCTGAGGACATAAAAAAAATATCTCTATGTTCATCAAATAAAACAATACTTTTTCAGATAGTCTGTAAATGATTCTAGGACCATTGTCGTCGTGCGTATCTGCTACGTGTTCCAAATTATTTACTACCGTATCGTGCATATTTTTTATCCATACATACGCCGATACGGCCCTTATCTGGAGCCCTGTTTGATACAGGAAACAGTTTGTTTAGATTATAAAACAGGCATTTGCTGAAATACGTTATGTACCTTCAGTGTTTGAAGAGTGAAAGTTAATATGTCCTTGTGATGACCTTGAAATTGAGGAGTCTGTAATTTGTCATGTCCTAAGTCACCATAGGACCTAATGTCTACGAATATAGGGCCCAGGTCAGTTCATTTTGAAAGCTGTTCACTGTCCTGCTAATGCTGATTTTCATACAAACTCAAGGTTGGTAACATCATGTGTATGTGTGGGGAATTCTTTTATTCTAATTAGGTGTTTGAGTTTTGTTTGCTTTAGATTTGGGGTCAAATATCTTGTTCCTGGTTTATTTGCCCTCGGCTCCTGAATGCTTTGTTCTAATTCTTGATGACATGATGTGATGAATGGGATGGTTAGGCCAAATAAAAAAATAATGTTCCGATTACACCTCTTTAAAATTTAGGGTAGGTAGGTCGAAATTTTTTATTATCCCCCTCCGCGCGTTTAGCACGAAGCGGGGGATATAGTATTAGGATCTGTCCGTACATACGAATTGGAATATATAAAGAACCGTTGCCTACATTCTTTTCATATTTGGTACCTAGGTTCAGCACAGTAAAAGAAAGGTCCCAGTCAGGTTTGGTGACCTTGACCTTCATTTCAAGGTCGAGAGGGGACTTTAACGTTTTATCTCCATGTTAAGGTGACCTTCATGGAATTCTCAAGGTCATGGCGACACTTTGAAGTATTCAGCATGTTAAGCTTGTCAGCGAGATACCTCAAGAACTGTTCACTGGATTTTGTTCATATTCGACATCAAGCTCCATCGAGGGAAGGCGCAGGGCCCAGTCGATTTTAGTGACCTTTACATAATTCTCAAGGTCATGGCGACACTTTGAAGATTTCAGCACGTTAAGCTGCATGTTAAGCTTGTCAGCGAGATATCTCAAGAACAGTTCACTGGATTTTCTTCATAGACTTTCAAGACTTCCCTTGAGTGTTTTTTAATAAGCAATTTCTTTATTACTATTTTTACAGGTTTCATACACTAAGACATTCATGTCAAGGTCAAATTGAGTCTTGAACATATTTGTGTGTTTGAACAACTAAACAGCAAGATATCAAGAGAGGTTGACTGGTCATGTCTTTGTTGACATTTACCTTCATCTTAAACTTTCATTACTTTTTAAGGTTGATTTGATAATTTGCGGCGGGGAGATTATGTCACCTTAGTGACAATGCTTGTTCTGTATTTGAATTCAGCTCTGTCTCTGAAGTCATGTGATGAATGGTATGGTTCGGCCAAATAAAAGAAATAATGTTCCGATTACACCTCTTTAAAATTTAGGGTAGGTAGGTAGGAATTATTTTTTTTTTTACATATTTTTTTTAGACATAAAGTACGAACTTATAACACATTTATCAATGTGTAATTGTTTATTTAATCAAGCTTGCAGCCATCATGTCGACTTTCTCTATCAAAATGACCGATGTCTGTCGGTGCCGGGAAAAAACAATGGTATCTGAAAGCTTATTTTATTCATACCGCTTAAAAAAAATTAGGTTCAGCACCAAAATTCAAGGGTCGGTCGGGTAATCGGAACCATAACATTTTGTTTAGGCCTTAATTGCATATCATGGTATCCTAACAGTGAGGTTTTGCTCATTAGTGTTTGGAATTGGTTAAAATCTATAATTGTTGATTGGTTCATTACAACCGATCAATCATCGAAAACAATTGGTTAGCGTCATTTATCAAATTTTCCTGGTTATGTTTGTTAATGCACAAAAAAGTAAAGAAAAAACATGTTGTTCTTTTGGGTCTTTTTCAAATTGCACAAAATGTATGTTAGGAACAATTTCCTTTTAGTCTTTATGAAAAAAATTCAATCATGACTTGGAATGAGATTGTAGTGCTTATGAAATAAAACCGACAAAACCAACCTTGTGAAAAATATTGTTAGTGCAAACATATGTTCCAAAATTGTTTGTGTTCGATTATGAGAAAACATGATCGATTGCTTGGTCGTTTAGTCACAGCGACCAATCTTTGAATATTTCAATTAATCGGACCACCACTATTGCTCATGACATCAATCACTGGTTTGTCTGGTCCAGACACAGTCGGCTCCAGGGTGCTGTCATATAGCTGGAATGTTGCTGAGTGTGGCTTCAACAATATTAATGAGTGCGCAGGGAAAGAAACTTTTCAAAATTTCCCACTACACCACACGACCAGTGAGTAGACAATAATTAGTGGTCCGGTCTGTACCTCACTGGTCCAAAATAACACTCGTAGATTTACGTACTATCAATACAAAATCCACTGGCCACCAAAACCATTGCAAACTTATCAGTGGTTCTGATGATTTTTTAGTAGCCAGGGACCACAGGACCAGCGTAAATTTCGCACTCTGGTTCATGAGTTTAGTTTTGCGCCGCTTTTAGCAATATTCCAGCAGCATCACGGCTTTGGACACCAGAAATAGTACCCATGTGGGGAATCGAACCCAGGTCCTCTATAAGACGAATGAACGTTTCAACCTTTAGGCTAATTCACCACCCCAAACAACAATATAATCATTATTTAACCTTTTCAGTTACACGTTATGATCCTGAAAATACTGCAGACATGTAGCATCAGGGGGCATTGTGGGAAATGAAGAAGGTTCTTTCCTAGGAAGCATTTTATCCTGGAAATCCTGATTCTTATATTACACCCCTGAAGGTCCGGGTTAGAATATTGATCTTCAGTAACCCATGCTTGTCGTAAGAGGCGACTAACGGGATCGGGTAGTCAGGCTCGCTGACTTGGTTGACACATGTCATCGGTTCCCGGTTGCGCTGATCAATGCTCATGCTGTTGATCACTGGGTTGTCTGGTCCAGGCTTGATTATTTACAGAGTGCCGCCATATAACTGGAATATTGCTGAGTGCAGCGTGAAACTAAACTGACTCACTCACTTTGCTATGAAGCATTTTATCCTGAAAATCCTGATTCTTATATTAGCAAGGTTAACAAATACCTTTTTCTTCTTCAGGGACGGTTGGCGTCAAGCCCAAAGTTACACCCATAGATGTAAGTATGGAAGCATTTTGTGTTAATCTTCAGCAATACTTCAAATGGTGCATATATTTTATTGCAGTTTTGTTGTGTTTGGTAAACGTATCTGCAAAGCAATATTTGTTGTAATTTGTATCGTTTCACCTGAATACACAGATATGCATTCATAGTGATAATCTCCTTTGAGATATATAAGATGACAAAAACATGGAAGTGTTTTTCAACAATGTTATCTAAACGGCAGGGTATGAAGATGCTGAGAAATATTCACTTTAGTTTGTAGAGATTCGGACCTGAATGTAGAGTACCCATGAAGATTAGGTTAGAAGTGGCCTTTAGCAACCCATGCTTGTTGTAAGAGGCAACTTGATTGGGTGATCATTCTCACTGACTTGGTTGACACCAGTGTTCAAATAATCGCCGGCCCGGAAGCCCAGCGCCGGTTGTTATTGTATCGGGCCGGCAGTTTCAAATATTTGCAGGCCCTTGTGGCCTTCAGTCAATTATCTGTCATCTTTTTTTCAACTGGAACCTTTTCCATAATTTTTTTTTTTAACGTTCGGAAATCATCTATGATCCATCATGTTTTGATAACTTACAGTTTCACTTCCTGGTATTTCCGCACAGGAAGGTCAACACCAGTCTTTAACAAATACACACTTCCCTCTGAGCCATTGGTTTCGCTGATTAAATTTTGTAAAAACAGTGTGAAACTGTGAAGTCTACTTTGTTTTCATTGGTTTCACTTTAACAAAAAAGGGCCTGCAGATTTCATTCAGGGCCTGTAGATTTTAGAGCTGGCAGGCCCTGATGGCCAACTGGCAAGTTAAAGTATTGCAAACACTGGTTGACACGTGTCATCGTAACCCAATTGCATAGATCAGTGTTCATGACGTTGATCAACAACAACAACAAAAACCAAACCAAAACAAAACAAAAAGCTAAGAAGAAACCAAAAAAAACCCTGATATATATCATGGTATTTATGAGTCGATCATCCAATACTTAATTTCCAAATGGTGGCACTTCAAACTGCAGCAGATATTTTGATCAGGCCAGTGAAAGTCAGGGTAACTTTTTCTGACAATGGATAATGGTAGCCCATGCTGTTTTCACAGACAAATGCAGTGGGCACAGGGATGGGACCACGGACGCCGATGTCCACATCCGTCCGTGAAAAAGGAAAGAAGATTGGACACAGAAGAGTGGACGAAGATGGCATTGTGACATATAAAAAGGTATGCATACAGACACCATACACCCTAGATTTAGATTGATCATACCTCCCAGTGTTCACGAATGGCGTTTCAAAGTAACAGGACATTGGGTCCTGTAAGTTTAAGATGTCTGTCTGACCCTCTGAAAATTCACAGGACCCATAGAATAAAGTTAAACACACATGTCAGATTTAACATTTCTTATAATTGGCATTGAAATTATTAACACACATAAGATTTATAAACAGCAAACAAGTGTCACATGTCACATAAAACAACTTCAGTCAAAGTCATTGTGAAATATACAGTCAGACACTGGGGCCGGCGGGTTGTAGACTTCTGTCTGACCGTTGGCGAATCTGCCGGATTTGTCAGAGGGTCAGACGCTATTCGTGAACACTGACCTCCTTGTCTAAATGTTGAGATCTAATTGGTCCACATGATCTAGATAAAGTGCCATGTGTCACACCAGGGAGAGAAATACAATTTTGAGTGGGACAATTGATCACTTATACCCTGGATTAAGAAAAATGTCTGTGCAGGGATTTCTTAGTCAGACAGCCTTTCTCTTTCACACTGTCATGAAGCCATGAAATGTTTCTAGTTTTGTCAACACCAATACTTGCAGGTATCACCCAAGTGGTCTAGGTCCTGCTTCACTTCAAGTTTTCCTTGTGGAAACTGACATGCTGTAATAGAGCTGGCACACTGTTTAAAATGCCATAAGTTAAAGTAACCTATTCTATATTTCTAAAGACTGCTTCCGTAGTGTAGTGGTTAGAGCGTCCACCCGGAGAGCGGAACGTCACGGGTTCGATCTCCGACTGCGTCATACCAAATGACGTTAAAATATGGTACTTGTTGGTCCCTGTCTGGCGCTCGGCATTAATGGGTACATCAAGGACTGGTCGGCTCGGATTCAGTATAATGTGTCTGAGTGGGGTATTCATGCTTCACTGCGGCATGGTATCTCAGTGAGCTAGCACTATAAAACCAGCTGAAGTCTGGGCTGGTACAATCAGCCACACATACACACACATGCACGTCGTCATATGAGCAAAATATTCTCAAATACAACACTAAACCTCACCTATATTTCTAAAGGGTATGGCCATTATTACTCATCCTCTAATTTCATTTCTTTTTCCAGAAACCTACATCGGAGTTGATGACAGCAATCCAACTGGGTATTGGACAAAGTGTAGGAGCATTAAGTTCAAAAGCTGAACGTGATGTTCTCATGCAAGATTTCGCTGTCGTGGAGAGTGTCTTTTATCCAAGGTATGTACTCAGGATTTCATTACTTTTTTACAGCAGGGTCAGGACTTATATCATCAGATAGATTTACCTGCACTTTGAGTGTTCTGAAAGAGTTACCTGCACTTTGAGTGTTCTGAAAGAGTTACCTGCACTTTTAATTATTCTGAAAGAGTTACCTGCACTTTGGCTATTCTGAAAGAGTTACCTGCACTTTGAGTATTCTGAAAGAGTTACCTGCACTTTGATTATTCTGAAAGAGTTACCTGCACTTTGAGTATTCTGAAAGAGTTACCTGCACTTTGATTATTCTGAAAGAGTTACCTGCACTTTGAGTATTCTGAAAGAGTTACCTGCACTTTGAGTATTCTGAAAGAGTTACCTGCACTTTGAATGTTCTGAAAGAGTTATCTGTTCTGAAAGTATTATCTTCAATAAGAGTATTCAACCAATCACCCACCCACCCATGCACAAAGTCAACTAAAACTTTGCCTGGTCAGCTGAGCTAATAATACTAATAATCAGCTAATAATCGACTTGGTTATACTCTATATGACAACAAAAACAGGTTTAGAGCAAAGTTCAGGCTGGTAGACTCAAAAAATGTTTTGCAGAGAGTGTAGAATAAAACCCAGGTACAGGTGTTAGTAATCCTAGACCTTGTTTTCTACCTTTTGTTTGTTTGTGGTTTCAGTGAGGGAAGCAACTTAACACCAGCTCACCACTGTAGTGACTTCAGGTTCAAGACATATGCACCCATCGCCTTCCGATACTTTCGAGAGCTGTTTAATATTCAGCCCGATGACTTTATGGTGAGTGACAAGTTTAGTGAGTGAGTGAGTTTAGTATTATGGGGCGCGGTGGGCGAGCTGGCTAAGGCACCGGCTAGTGATCCAGCGAGGTTGAGGTGTCGGGATCGAGCCCACCTGTGACCAGGTGTAAAAACCTTGGAGTCAACTTTGTGTGCAGACTCTGTCAGTGTTGTCACAACCCCTAGTGTACAGTACACATCCCTGTGCACTTAAAAGAACCCACGAATCCGTTGGTATATGACCAAATGGTGGCCACATGAATACGTGCAAACACCTAGTTGCAGGTACAGCAATGTGCAGTGAACTTGGACAAAATACTGTGACTATGTGTCCCAGTCCACCCAGCTGTGAATGGGTACCTCGTTAGGATGAGAAAGCCACAATAATACAATGTGCCATTGAGATTGACATCCAATGATCGAGGGAATATATATCAGCGCCTTGAGCAAGCACTAGGTTGCCTGGATATGTATGTATATCAGTATCCTATATTAATATTAATATTATTATTATGCGGGTTAGAATTTATCTTCAGTAACCCATGCTTGTCGTAACAGGCAACTGATGCGATCAGGTGGTCTGGCTTGCTGACTTGGTTGACACCTGTCATCATGTCCCAGTTACGCAGATTGATGCTCATGCTGTTGATCACGGATTGACTGGTCCAGACTCCATTATTTACAAACCACCACCATATAGCTGGAATATTGCTGAGTGTTGCATAAAACTAAACGCCCTCACTACAAACCACCACCATATAGCTGGAATATTGTGGCCAATTCTTACCTGGATCTTCACGGGTTCTTGACCAATGAGTTGTGACTACTTAGTTGATGTCAGCCGCCATATAGTTGGAATATTGCTGGGTGGGGTGTAAAACTAAACTCACTCACTCACTAGTTGATGTCAGGCTGTCAGTTGTTCTGGTGACCTGTTTTCAGTTATCGCTGTGTGATGAACTGCTTCAAGAGTTGTCTAACCCTGGCGCCAGTGGCAGTATCTTCTACATCACCCAGGACGATGAATTCATCATCAAGACTGTCCAACACAAGGAGGCAGACTTCTTGACTAAGCTGCTCCCTGGATATTTCCTGGTAAGTGCAAGATCAGGTAGCTGTTGTACAACCTTAGCCCTACCATGATCGTAAGCCCATGTTAAAGTATTGGAGTCACGATAACCTTAGAGCAACGATGATACGTAGCCCATGTTAAAGTAAGTGATAACCTTAGTAAGCCCATGTTAAAGTATGGGAGTCATGATAACCTTAGCGTAGCAGCTAAAGTATGGGAGTCACGATGATCGTGTAAGCCCATGTTAAAGTATTAGAGTCATGATAACCTTAGAGCAACGATGATCGTAAGCCCATGTTAAAGTATGGGAGTCACGATATCCTTAGGGTAGCAGCTACGATGAAGCCCATGTTAAAGTATGGGAGTCATGATAACCTTAGAGCTACGATGATCGTAAGCCCATGTTAAAGTATGGGAGTCACGATAACCTTAGGGTAGCAGCTACGATGATCGTAAGCCCATGTTAAAGTATGGGAGTCATGATAACCTTAGCGTAGCAGCTACGATGATCGTAAGCCCATGTTAAAGTATGGGAGTCATGATAACCTTAGCGTAGCAGCTACGATGATCGTAAGCCCATGTTAAAGTATGGGAGTCACGATAACCTTAGCGTAGCAGCTACGATGATCGTAAGCCCATGTTAAAGTATGGGAGTCACGATAACCTTAGCGTAGCGATGATCGTAAGCCCATGTTAAAGTATGGGAGTCATGATAACCTTAGCGTAACGCAGCTCATGATCGATCTTAAGCCCATGTTAAAGCATTGAGTCATGATAACCTTAGCGTAGCAGCCCATGAAAGTATTGGAGTCATGATAACCTTAGCGTAGCAGATGCGATGTCGTAAAATGTTAAAGTATTGGAGTCACGATAACCTTAGCGTAGCAGCCCGATGATCGTAAGCATGTTAAAGATGAGTCATGATAACCATGTTAAAGCATGGATGATCGTAGCCCATGATAACCTTAGCGTAGCAGCTTAGCAGCTGATGATCGTAAGCCCATGTTAAAGTATTGGAGTCACGATAACCTTAGCGTAGCAGCTACGATGATCGTAAGCCCATGTTAAAGTATGGGAGTCATAATAACCTTAGCGCTAAGATTGCTGTAGGATTTTATGGTATGGTCAAGACATATAATCATGTGATAGATTTACCTGCATTTTGTGTATTCTGAAAGATTTGAAGTATGGGAGTAAATATCACCTTAGCAAAGATCGTCTTGTACAATGTCAGCCAGGTGGCCCAGTAGACAGATTAGTCAGCTGTCAGAAAATGCCTGGTTCTGTTCTGGATTTCAGATTTAACATTTCTTATTATTGGCTACAACAAACATATTTACTTAAAACAGCATGTCACTGGACTTCAGCCGATCAGCTGTGTACTTTCCATGAATGTTAATTGCTTCACCTTGAATGGCATTGCTTGTGATTATCACTGAAATACTGTTCAAAGTAATGTTAACATGATCTACCCATCTCAGTGGTACTCTCAGTTACAGACTTGGCAGTGGGGTAACCTAGTGGTTAAAGCGTTTGCTTGTCATGGGTACAATGTGTTGAGCCCATTTCTGGTGTCCCCTGCCGTGATATTGCTGGAATATTGCTAAAAGCGGCGTAAAACCATTCTCACTCACACTCAGTTACAGACTGTTGCAATGTCACGAGACCATGTGAGTTCTGAGATCATCAGGTTTAAATGTCATGTGGCGCGCCTGTCATGTTCATGAAAATCTTGACATTAATTAACTTCTGATTTATGTACGATATATATTATAATTTGTAGAACACCTAATATCCATCTCAAAGATGCTCAGTTGCACAAATTCTGCACAAAGCACAGACATTTTTTTTTACCTGGTTAACCCAGGCTGCATGTGAGGCATTAAAACGTTAACAATCAGATGACCATCTCATCCTAGCAGGTACCCACTCACTCCTGTAGGGAACAGAGGCAATTTTGATATTCACTTGCCTAGGTTGAGACCACATATGTCATGTGTGCTTCGTTGTTGAGCAGGATTGAGGTCCTAGAAACTCTCAGGAGTCATTGCTGGATTGTTTGGTCCAGACTCGATTATTTACAGACCGCCACCATAAAACTCAACTCACTCCCAGGAGCCAAGCTGCCAAACACAGTCACCCATGTTTTTTGCATGGTTCTATGCACAAGACCACAACCGTAGTAAAAAGCATATGCACAAGTCACTACACTTCAGTGTAGTCACAGTTTCATATAATATTTTTCCATCCATAGTGAGGCTTACATCCACTGATGAGGTTACATTCCACATTACTTTATTGACGTGATTCTGCACACAATGTTGGTTCTGGGTCCAGACTCTAAATTTCACATATTCTTTCTTTCCAGAACATAAGCCAAAACCCAAGGACATTGTTACCCAAGTTTTACGGCTTATACTGTTACCAGGTATGTATGTGTACCACTATTAAGCCAGTGATGGGAAGTTACAAAGAATGCCCAAATTTAGTTAATTTATAGCTGTACACCACTTGTACAGTGAAATTCTACTGGCCCTAAGGTACATGTAACATTTCCATCGCTGTAATTTAGATTTGCTGTGTCTGTATCCATGGTGGTTGTGACACAATGTGATAACAATTAATAAATGATGTTCATCCCATATCTGGGCGATGGGGTAGCCAAGTGGTCAAAGCGTTCGCTTGTCACGCCGAAGACCAGGGTTCGATTCCCCACATGGGTACAATGTGTGAAGCCCATATCTGGTGTCCCCTGTCGTGATATTGCTGGAATATTGCTAAAAGCGGCGTAAAACCATACTCACTCACTTCATCCCATATCTCATCCGTGATTATCCAACCCGTGAAGATCCGGGTTAGATGGTCTGCAGCAACCCATGTAGGTGACTAACAGGATCGGGTGCAGTGTTGAACAACAAACAAACAAACATCCCTGATTATGCCGTGATATTGCTGGAATATTGCTAAAAGGGGCATAAAACCATACTCACTCACTAAATCGCTCACTCACTCACTCTGTGTCGTGAAGTAAAAACCAAGTACAAAATCATGTTTCATGACTCCAAGTTTCTGTTTTGTTGTTTTCAGTGTGGAGGTAAAAACATTCGATTTACAGTCATGAACAATCTCTTACCATCTTCGATCAAAATCCATGAGAAGTACGACTTGAAAGGCAGTACGTACAAGCGGAAAGCCTCAAAACACGAGAGGTTGAAAGAAAGCCCCACCTACAAGGACCTGGACTTCATTGATCTCCATCCAGAGGGGCTTCTACTGGAAAAAGAAACCTACGATGCCTTGATAAAAACACTACAGAGAGACTGCAGGGTGAGGTGTGATTATCCAGAGATGCCAACCTCTCCGATTTTGGCGGAGTTACTCCGATTTTCAAATACAATATCTGCTCTCCGATTTCCCTTTAATAAAATCCCGATATTTTTAGAAAAAAATCTGAATTTATTTTTACGGTACACAATTTCATAAGTCACCGGTGATTTATTTGTGTGAAAACTGGTAAAAGCATTCAGAGGCTTAGCGTCCTTTGGGTGTCGATTGTGTATATTGCTTGTTATTGACGATGAAATTTTTCCGAATGCATGTGATAGTCCGTATGAAAGTGAAACAAAATGGCAGAGCCGACCACACGCTCAGCCCGAACTCGCACCTTTGGTGCTCAGGCCTGGATTTCAGCCAGTCATGACTCCATTTTCGTTAGATTCAGGGTTGGCATCTCTGGTTATCAGTCACAATATGCAGATCAATAATCGGACATCGGTAATCAATCGATTGATTGCAATCATAAACCCCATCACAAAACTCTAGGGCTGGCTAAAACGAAAGATAATGGAAAATATCTTCAATGGGAAAAATTCTTAATGATTATCGATATGAAAATTGTGTTATCAATAATATTCCTCATTGACTTTTATGATAGAAAAAAGTTCTATTTTTCTGACAAAATATGCAATTTTAGGACTTTTTTCATTGTCTGCTTCTAAATTATGTTCAGGAAGCTGTTTTATTAATGCATGCAAAAACAAGTCACCAGTCACTAGTGAGTCATTTCTTTCAGACATTTTGCTAAAAGTTACATATCTGATATTTATCTATAATTGATCTCTATGTTCTACACCCGTGAAGATTCGGGTTAGAATGTGCTTTCAGTAACCCATGCTTGTCGTAAAGGCGACTAACAGGATCAGGTAGTAAGGCTCGCTGGCTTGGTTAACATATGTCATCGGTTCCCAATTGTGCAGATCGATGCTCAAGCTGTTGATCACTGGATTGTCTGGTCCAGACTCGATTATTTACAGAGTGCCGCCATATAGCTGGAATATTCCTGAGTGCAGCATAAAATTAAACTCACTCATTCTATGATCTATTTCTATAACCAGCCCTAGTCCTTTGTCCAGCTTAAATGGCCGGTGGGGTAGCCCAGTGGTTAAATCGTTTGCTCGTCACGCTGAAGACCTGGGTTCGATTCCCCACATGGGTACAATGTGTGAAGCCCATTTCAGGTGTCCCCTGCCTGATATTGCTGGAATATTGCTAAAAGCGGCGTAAAACCATGCTCACTCACTCAAGCTTTAATAGTTATGCTAATTACTGTTGATTTGTCCTGTTAAAACTGGATTATTTACGAATTGGTGTGATACAGCTTTAATAGTGCCAACTACAACCCCAATCTTGTACAGAGGTGTCCTTTATCCAGCTGTAAGAGTTAGCGAATTTTATCCAAACTAACTTGTTTTCTTTGATTTGTTCCAGGTACTTGAGAGCTTTAAGATCATGGACTACAGTTTATTGGTTGGGGTGCATAATCTGGATTTGTCCTTACGAGAAAAGGTAAGACAATGTTCTTCAAAATAATATACCCGTGAAGATCCGGGTTAGAACTGATTTTCAGTAACCCATGCTTGTCGTAAGAGGCGACTAACGGGATCGGACGTGGTCAGGCTCGCACTTCCCATGATGCACTTCAGGGTAAAACAAGGGTTTCCCATGATGGTGTTTAGGGTAAAATGACTATTTCCCATGATGTGTTTCAGGGTAATATGAGGAGTAATATGAGCGTATGATCCCCATGATGTGTTTCAGGGTAATATGAGCATTTCCCATGATGTGTTTCAGGGTAATATGAGTGTTTCAGGGTAATAATATGAGCGTTTCCAATATGATGTGTTTCAGGGTAATATGAGCGTTTCATGATGTGTTTCAGGGTAATATGAACGTTTCCCATGATGTGTTTCAGGGTAATATGAGTGTTTCAGGGTAATATAAGTGTTTCAGGGTAATATGAGCGTAATATGAACATTCCATGATGTGTTTCAGGGTAATATGAATATGCATTTCCCATGATGAGTTTCCCATGATGCGTTTCAGGGTAATATGAACATTTCCCATGAGTGTTTTCAGGGTAATATGAACATTTCCCATGATGAGTTTCAGGGTAATATGAACATTTCCCATGATGTGTTTCAGGGTAATATGAGTGTTTCCCATGATGAGTTTCAGGGTAATATGAGTGTTTCAGGGTAATATGAACATTTCCCATGATGAGTTTCAGGGTAATATGATTCCCATGATGAGTTTCAGGGTAATATGAGTGTTTCAGGGTAATATGAACATTTCCCATGATGAGTTTCAGGGTAATATGAGCATTTCCCATGATGAGTTTCAGGGTAATATGAACATTTCCCATGATGTGTTTCAGGGTAATATGAGCGTTTCCCATGATAAATATGAGCATTTCCCATGATATGAGCATTTCCCATGATGCGTTTCAGGGTAATATGAGTGTTTCAGGGTAATATGAACATTTCCCATGATGTGTTTCAGGGTAATATGAGTGTTTCAGGGTAATATGAACATTTCCCATGATGCGTTTCAGGGTAATATGAGCGTTTCCCATGATGCGTTTCAGGGTAAAATGAGCATTTCCTGTATTATGTGTTTCAGGGTATTCAGTCCCGAGCGGAGAGTGGGTCGGCGCCTCCTGACACGCCCAGCGCCCTGAGCGACGGTACTAGCAGCACGGCACCTAGTGGTGGTGGTAAATGTAGGACTAATCTGTGGTGGTTGGGAAACAGATTTAATTCCTTCTCTGACTGCAGACATTCCACTGGCAATGTGTCACCCTATATTATGTACAGGCTCATCTTAGGTGTCCCTGGGGTGGTGGGGTAGCTGTGTGGTTCAAGCCTGGGTTTGATTCTTAACGTGGGTACATTTCTGGTGTGCCTACTGTCGTGATATTGCTGGAATATTGCTAAAAGCGGCATAAAACAAAACTCACTTACTCAGGTGTCCCTGGAGTGGTGACGTAGCCTTGTGGTTAAAGTATTCGGCTTGTTCCGAAGACCCTTGTTTGATTATCCACATGGTCAAATGTATAAATCCCATTTTTGGGGGCAGTGTAGTAGCCTAATGGTTAAAGCGACCGCTTGTCACGCCGAAGACCCGGTTTCGATTCCCACATGGGCACATTGTATGAAGGCCATTTCTGGTGTCCCCCGCTGTGATACTGCTGGAATATTGCTAAAAGCGGTGTAAAACCATACTTCCTCACTCACTCATTTTTTGGGTGTCCCATGTCAAGAAATTGCTGTTATAGTGCTAAAAGCAGAATAAAAACATATTCACTCACTCTGGTGTCCCTGGCCACGGCTTACCTAAATAATTATAGATGGTACATGTTGTTACCCTGTCAGGTATTTGCCGTTAATGGTCTGGTTGGCTGGGGGTTGCTATCTCGGTGAAAATTGATGCCCACAGTTTGACACTGAGGACATGGAAACAAATTGGTATGCAAGATTTTGCTGCAATAGATATAAATAAGCTGTACAAAAATTCTAATCGAAAGTCTGAGAAGGGAGTCTGTGCCATTGGAATGTCTCTGTACCTAACAATAATTACAATGAAAGCAATAACATCATGTTTATAGAATGAAAACAATTGTCTGACAATAATGGTCAGATATGTCTGATTTGTTTTTTCTTACTGTCTGGTTTGCAACGCTTGACATTCACCCAAATTCCCAACAAGACCACAGGACCAGTAACTTTTAAAAATCGCTGGTCCTTACAGATTCTTACTCGTCCTGCTGATGTCAAATTCAAATTTGCTCTTACTTTGTAGAATTTTATCTTAAAAATGACAAAGAACTAACATAGGCTAAACTTACATTTACACGTTGTCGTGTTCACTCATTGTTTTAAATATCTACTAGACCGTGGGATAGCACTTTTCAAAGTTGCACTGGTCCTGTCAACATTTTACTAGACCCGGGCCAGTGGGATAGCATGAATGTCGAGCCCTGGCTTGATGTTTATGATGTCAGGTCCAGGTTAGAATTGGTCTTCAGTAACCCATGCTTGTCGTAAGAGGCGACTAACAGGATCGGGTGGTCAGGCTCACAGGCTTGGTTGACACATGTCATCGGTTCCCAATTGAGCTGATCGATGCTCATGCTGTTGATCACTGGATTGTCTGGTCCAGACTCGATTATTTACAGACCGCCGCCATATAGCTGGAATATTGCTGAGTGTGGCGTAAAACTAAACTCACTCACTTTAAGATGTAAGGGTGTAATCATTGCTTTCATTGTTTGGGTGTTCTTTTGTAGTTTACTAACCATGTTCTCTAATTCTTTCTCATCCAGCCTACTAACAGTAACAGTTGTAGTGGAGACTTGTTATTCTTGATTTGGGTCTAGTTTTGATGAGTTAACAGTTGAATGTTTGAATAGTCTTAGTTGTATACTACCCAGGGAGTTGAGATTAATATTGAGTGTTCACTCTTGAGTCTGTAGTCGCTCAGTGTAGGAATGATACATTTTGATGTTCACCTATCTTTAACAGGACTATGTATTAAATGATGTAAACATTTTAGGGAATTCCTCATTCCTGGGAAAGTAACTGGGAATTCCCGAGCACAAATAATATACAGACAAGTTGCTGTTGATCATTTAGACCTTTAACCCCTTTTAGAAATATCCGCACTTCATCAGATCCTTGTGAACAAAACCCAGCAATGTTCATCGAAACTCTACTCAATAGTGTTTTATCCTATAGCTGGGCTTGATTTGAGAGATGTTAACCCACTTGCACCAGGTGCAACCTAAGATAAAAACCTAGTTGCACCAGTCAAATTCCAGTTGCACTGTTTTTATTGCAATATGTAATATCAGAAATATGCTATTGAATTATTTAGATGTTTTATTCAGAAGTTTACCCACTCAAAAATTGGCTTGCACCTGGTGCAAGTTGGACTAATAACTAGGTTGCACTTTGTAATATTGGGTTGCACCAGTGCAAGTAACAAAGCACTAAATCGAGCCCTGTATAGACTTACCTCTGTATCTAGTTGATGTATGATCATAGTCACCTTTCAGTGTTTGGCTAACTAATCAAAGATGCCAGCTCTTGTAAACTTGTAATGTTCACCCGTCCGTTTGTCATATTGGCCTCAATATAATGTAAATGTATGATATGGTCACTCTGACTGTCTTAGTTCTGACCATGTGTACCGCCTCCGTGGTGTAGTGGTTAGAGCGTCTGCCTGGAGAGCGGAAGGTCGCGGGTTCGATCCCCTCACTCACTCACTAACCTTGTCCTTTCACATGAAATAACAACAGTTGCAGCACTAATTAGGGCTGGTAGGATGCTCTTTAGACTAACAACTAGTCTCTGAAATGAACATTTGGTTAAATTTACTGAAAAAAAGTTCATAATAAAAAATATATATATATAAAATGAAAAGGAGCCCAGATACTTTCTTCAAGCTGAGGAAATCTAGACTTGCCACATTTTCTAGCCTGGGCTTTCTTGGATATATTTGCTTCAGGGTCTGTACGACAGACTAGATGCTCTTGTGTATTTTGTAAATGAACGGTATTCTTTTATGACATTGTTTCATTATGTGTGATTACTAGAATATTCATGAAAGGCTTTACTTGTATTTGGGTGTTATTTTTGAAAATGGGACCGATATCTGACCTCCCTAATAGCACTTAGCAGAATAGGGATCCACCTTTATTTCAATCACTGACAGTAGTCTGAAATAGGCCATGAACAAGACAGATCCGAGTTAGAATTCGTCTTCAGCAACCCATGCTTGTTGTAAGAGGCGACAAACATGATCGGGTGGTCTGACTCGCTGATTGGTTGACACGACGTCATAGATTGATGCTGATGATGCTGCTGATCACTGCCATCATAGAACTGGAATATTGCTGACCGCCTCCGTGGTGTAGTGGTTACAGCCTCCGCCCGGAGAGCGGAAGGTCGTGGGTTCGATCCCCGACCGCGTCATACCAAAAGACGTTAAAATATGGTACTTGTTGGTCCCTGCCTGGCGCTCGGCACTAATGGGTACAACAAGGACTGGTCGACTCGGAGTCAGTATAATGTGTCTGAGTGGGGTATTCATGCTTCACTGCGGCATGGTATCTCAGTGGGCTAGCACTATAAAACCAGCTTAAGTCTGGGCTAGTACAAGCAGCCGCACATACACATACACACGCATGCACGTCGTCATATGAGTGAAATATTCTCAAGCACGACGTAAAACCCAGTTTCACCTCACCTCACCTCACTGGAATATTGCTGAATGCTGCGTTAAACAACAGACAGAACAAGATGTATGATGGTGCAGTCAGCTCATTCCTAGTTTCTCCTTCTGTGTGTTCCTTCCCAGGAATATATGACAATACCTCCTTTTCCAGCTCTCCAACGAGGCAAGTCTTTCAAAACGAAGATTGCACAGTATTCCACAGCCATGGAGGCAATCCGTCTGAATGCAGAAACAGATGATATCGAAGATGAAGATGTTCCGTAAGTATTTTGCCAAATTTATTAATGAACTCTTTAAACCAAGTAATCCCATTATTAGGTTTATCATGTTCTCATCTTGTAGATTTCTGGTGTCCTCCACCATGATGTTGCTGGAATATTGCTATTGCAGAGTAAAACCTACTCACTCACTAATGTGTATCATGATCATCACATTGTTACCGTAATTAAATTGCAAATGATACCATAACCCAGCTAGTAGCAGACTCAGTGATAATTGTTATATTGCTGTCCATTGATGACAGGTATTTGTAGTTTTAGTGTATCTCTTATCATTATATAAATTCTCATCACTATATGGCTGAAATAATGCTGATGTGACGCTAAATATTTACCAAAGCACTCAAATAGGTGAGCTTCTGTACCTGCTGATCTCTTGTAATGACGACTAGTGTGGAACTTAAACACCACATATGCTGATATATTGTTGCGTCTTCTTGATTTCTAGACCTGGTGGCATCCCAGCCAAAAATTCCAAGGGTGAACGAATATTGTTGTATCTTGGTATCATCGATATTCTGCAGTCCTATCGCCTAAAAAAGAAACTTGAACATACCATGAAGGCCATCGTTATAGATGGGGTAAGTAGCATAACTGTTGAAACACTGGTACTATTTCTCTGTAGAAAATGATACATAACTTAAAATAATTGGAATTACAATTTGTCCACCAGCAACCTGTGCTTGCCCTATGATAGTGGGTGGAAGGATATATTTAAACCTGCTCTAAGGCCCATCTTTGGCCCAAGTCTGCAGCTAATTCCAGGAAAAAAACCAAAATGAATTTACAATTTCTCAGTTCCTCAATATTTATGAAAATAGAGACATACAAATTTGAACAGTATGCCAATGACAGTAAAAGTCCCATAATGTGAAATTACAATTTCCCAGCTCCTGAGAAAGAAGTAAAGTGGAGACAGGACAATTTCAACAATATTGTGATTTTTTCCAATTTTCCATCCCAAGATACTTACGATTACACAATGCCATTTAGAGAGTGGTCAGCTGTAACATATGTTATATTTGGGATTACACTTTCTAAGAAAAGTGGGTTCGAATCACGGATGGGACACAACTCAACAAAAGTACTAGAATCTGTACTTTACTAAGAAATTGGAATCCCAAATATAACATATGTTCCCAAGATACTTAGTTTTAAATGTATGGGAAATCCACAGATTTATAATGTCAGAAGCATCCAGATACCACATTGCCAGTAAAAGATGCTTACACATGTTCATAATTTCAGGACACCATATCTGTTCATCGACCAGGCTACTACGCCAACAGATTTCTGTCATTTTTCGCAAATCGTGTATTCCGGAAAATTCCAACCCGTAAGTATGATTATTTTCACAGTTAACTGTGTTCAGTATCTTGAGGTGAGGCTTGAAGGGGTTTAAGATCAGGATTATTGCACATATATCACAACACATCTGTATGTGCCACTGCTTGCTCTTAATGGCACTGCTGAGAGGGTGCATAAGTCCCAAAACTTTCAAAGTTAAATTTTTGCTTACCCGATTTTTAAACGCAGTATATTTGTTCCTTTAAAATTCGGCTAAACTTTCCTACAATCGCCAGCCGCTGAAGGGATGGTGTAAATCCAGCTAGAGTCCATGCAGGTAGCAAATGTACTGTAAGTCCCCATGGACCCTAGTATGGTGATCTACCTTCAGTTGTTGGCGATCTATAGCCTATTTTATATTGTGTTGTCCCCTATAGTTAAAATGTTTTAGATTTAATTACTTGTTTTCTTGTATATCTGTGATATTCTAGTTGTTTTACTGTCCTTTGTCGGCAGGTTTTTATAATATATATATTCCATTTCAATGTCAAATGTTCTCGTCACGATATGGCTGAAATATTGCCGATGTGACGTTAAATATTAACTCACTCACTCACTCTTAATGGCACTGGGGGCAGTGGGGTAGCCTAGTGGTTAAAGCATTCGCTCGTCACACCGAAGACCCGGGATCGATTCCCCACATGGGTACAATGTGTGAAGCCCATTTCTGGTGTCCCCCGCCGTGATATTGCTGGAATATTACTAAAAGCAGCGTAATACCATATTCACTCACTCACTCCTAATATTAGCAGTTTTGTGCTCGCTCCCTGAAAAACGTTCCGTGTTTTTATGTTCCCAAACACATCCCCACTGTGGGTCTTCCACGTAACCAGCCATTGATAGTCACTCGCTCCATTTCCGGCCAACAGAATGGTTAAGGAAGATTTTCTGTGGTTTCTTATCCAAGCCATCCTATCAAAATTATAAAGTGTTTGCACAAAATTAGGCTGGGATTGTCTCTTTAGTCCCTTTATACCCATCATATCTATCCATAATTATTTTAAATCATAATTATGGTCCATGGTCCGAGTGCTGTGTATGGTCCGGATCGATAGTGTGTAGCCTAGTGGTTAAAGCGTTAAAGCATCGTTCGTCACACCGAATGACACAAGTTTGATTCCCCACATGGGTACAGTGTGTGAAGCCCATTTCTGGTGTTCCCTGCAGTGATATTGCAGGAATGTTGCTAAAAGCGGCGTAACACTAAATTCACTCACTCACTGTGTGCCAGGCAATGAAACAAGTATCATCCATTGCACCATAGACACAGTCTGAAAATATCACTAGATTACTTGAAAGCATCTTTCATATAGTTGTTCTGTTGATGTAAACCTGGAATAACGTCAGTGAAATTGATTTACAGCTCTCAAGCATTCTCCCTCCAAGAAGAAAGGCCAGGCAGGTCGAGCTCGAGCACAGACAACAATACCTGAACAGCCAGAACCAGGCCCGTATGACAGAAGGCTGATCGAGAAAACACAGAGGACCATCAGCTTCTCAGACGAAACTGGTCAGTACTCATGCATACCCAGGTCTCAAGATTTCACATGTCAGTTGACCGCCTCCGTGGTGTAGTGGTTCGATCCCCGACCACGTCATACCAAAAGACGTTAAAATATGGTACTTGTTGGTCCCTCCCTGGCGCTCGGCACTAATGGGTACAACAAGGACTGGTCGGCTCGGAGTCAGTATAATGTGTCTGAGTGGGGTATTCATGCTTCACTGCGGCATGGTATCTCAGTGGGCTAGCACTATAAAACCAGCTTCAGTCTGGACTAGTACAAGCAGCCGCACCTACACATACACACGCATGCACGTCGTCATATGAGCGAAATATTCTCAAGCACGACGTAAAATCTCAATTTCACCTCACCTCACATGTCAGTTGCTCAGATGACCACCGTGAGTGAGGTGCACAAGTGTGTCCCTGGTTTATTCAGCAGCTAAAATGGGTTCATTATTCTGTTGGAAATTCTGTGGTAAAAGCATACTTGTTTTCTCCCTTCCCCCACCTGCACAAACTAATTGTTAAACACTTATCATTTCATATGGCATAAATTTATGCAAACATATAGGCATAGTATCACTGATATTTATGTATGGTTAGACAAAGTTAACAAAGTTTATGTAATCACAAGAAAGATTTCAAGGGAGATTTATTCATTCAATCATTCATTCAAACATTTATTCTTTCATTCATTTATTTATTAATCTATTTATATTAGGGACCATATTTTTAATGCATCAATTGCACAGTAAACTGTTGAAGATCATTCAAGTGCTAAGAATGCAAAGAAAATGATAAAAGGTCAATGATAAAAGGTCAGTTTCAGTTTTCTATATATAATTGGCAAATGATAAACACTGTGAAATAAATAAATATACAGTAGGCTTATCCTTCAGGGAATATGGTGTGTAGTAATCCGTGTGTGGTTGTACACCCTCGCTTCCTGATTCACTTCTGACATTGACTACATCAAATCATTTCCCCAATCAAATAAAGCGTTCAAGCGTTCTGTGATCCTATCCTGTTCCAGCTCCACAGTCTGGCATAAGTGGGCGGCCGGACCTTCTGCCGGACACTTCAACGCCGCCTCGAGGTCACTTCTCACCTGTCACCAATCAAAACTCATCAAATACCTCACGATACTCGGACTCGCGCTCGCCCAATAATGATGGAAGCGGGGATGGCCGAAGGTTGGTTTCTCCTGTTTGTTATCGGGTCATAGAATCACATTTGTCTCATGGACTAAAGACTATGATACAGGATTTAACTGGGGTAAAGAGTTTGTCACTGGGATGCAGTAGTTGTCACAGAAATAAGTATTTTTAACTATGGGGAATAATTTGTCCAAGAAATAATGGATTAAATACAAGAAATAATGGAGTAAATAGTAAAAGCACTAAAAATTATCTCCATCTATAACAGCCATTGACTATATGTTCTGACCACTGATAAGCCTGGGTATTGTTGACGATTCTTTTGTAATTTAATGTTAAACACGATGTTTCACCACATATCATCCATAAAGTCTCATTACCAATATACACATACCCGTGAAGATCCGGGTTATCGATCTTCTGCAACCCATGCTTGTCGAACAGCGACTAACGGGATCGGGTGGTCACTCGCTGACTTGTTTGACAAGTGTCATCGTATCCCAATTGCGTACATTGATGCTCATGCTGTTGATCACTGGATTGTCTGGTCCAGCTGGAATATTGCTAAGAGAAATTAAACTCACTCACTCACCAAAATACAAGGCTCATATGCATGTTTTGCTCTGAGTTCATACTGTGTTGGTGGTGCACGCTTCTTGTCTCCATGTTGTGCTGATTTTCACCGCAACAGCTTTTAAGTTGCCTTGGCAACAGGAATGGAAGATGTATTTTTGAAAACTATAAACATATATCAAAAACAGAAGAGGTTTTTTTAGACCAGACCAATTTTATTTCTTGTTTTACGGATCCTCTGGTCATATTTTTTCAAGAATAAGAAAAAAAATTAAATTAATTTTGCCCGCTCAAAAAATAAAATCTTCATGTTTATATTGGCCAAAAATGTATACTTACCCCAAAACATTTTTTTGATTGTTTTTTGCCCCATATACACTTCATAAGTTGCCAAAAATAAAATACTTTTGGTATTTAAAAGGAATATAACTTTGACTGGTGGTTTTAATTTTTTATTTTTTTTCCCTCCTGCCTTTAGGTTTTCTGAGGACAAAAATGAGTAAAACAAGAAATAAAATTGGTCTGGCCTTAGTACTGTATCAGTTATCTGTCTATAAAACATGAATTTCAAAGCTGGTCCTGTCTGAATACTGTTATGTACATTGATCACTGGATTGTCTGGTCCAGACTCGATTATTTACAGACCGCCGCCATATAGCTGGAATATTGCTGAGTGCGGCGTAAAACTAAATTCACTCATTCACTTCAACACAGTTAATGACTCGCAAAAGCCACTTGAACAAGACATTACTGTGACTGTTAAAGAGTTTCTGGTCTTATGCGCACTCTATTAGGGGTTTTGTCACTTTTTGCTCTGCTTTGATTATATTGCAGAGCTTCTCTTGGTATTATTGTCGCTATTTATTGTTGGCAGTGTGACTTATTTGTCGTTGTTTGTTTGTCAACAGGCCGTGGTACAGGTATGGTCATATGTTGCTTGCATGACTGCCGTGTTTAGTACATACATATACTGACCTGCAAAATAACGCATCGTATAGAAATATGTCAAGAGTATTGAACAATATAACGTTAATTTGATTTATGATGGCCCAAATGTGAATATTTTAAGTTATTGTTTCTGATGGCTTCCATTACATGGACAGTTTGTGATCATTGATATTCCAAAGATAGGTTTTGAAGTTGCGAAATTTATGTAAGAATGTTTCATAGAATGTTGAAAAAATTCTCGAATCTCCTAGTACTATTGGGGCGGTGGGGTAGCCTAGTGGTTAAAGCGTTGGCTCGTCACCCCGAAGACCCGGGTTCGATTCCCCACATGGGCACAATGTGTGAAGTCCATTTCTGGTGTCCCCCGCCGTGATATTGCTGGAATATTGCTAAAAGCGGCGTAAAACTAAACTCAGTCAGTCAGTCCTAGTACTATTTGTCACCATAGAAATCACTGTGGTATTTGCCCAACAAATTTAAAAAATGGCGTCAATGATAATTTATTAGACATCAGAAGTGGTAAGTCATTAGAAGTGCTGGACAAAGCGCCAGGTCAATGTGAGAAATAATGTCAATGTCTATATGTTCAAAATTATTTCTTTCAAGTCATCAGCTCAAGACTTTTACCAGTTAATATAGACCATTAGATCACATGAAAATTTGTCTTGATATGAAGGAAATGGTGTGATGCGTTTCTTTTGCAGGTCAGTATATAAGATGAACATAATTCATCTTCATGTTACAGTAGCAACCTTCAGCATGGATGTCATGTCTTTGAGTCTGTTTGCATAGAAATGACTCTTGCACGAACTTCATAACTATTCTTCAAAGGGTCCATTCAGGGAAATTCCGTAATTCGGTTTCACCAATTCGTTCCTTAGCAAATCAACAGAACCAGTCTGTCAGTGACAATTGTGCTGACATGCAGTTTGTATGGTACTGTTTTTCATTTTCGATCTGTGAATTCTCATGTTCTGTATTTAATTACTATCCTTTGAATAATCAGGCTGGAACCTGGGAATTTTTGGAAATAGATATTTGATCCATAAAAGATGGAAAAGACAAGTAATAAATTTGCTCACCACAGTTAAAAAATACTATGTGTTAGTGGATATGCTCTTTGTCTTGCAAAAGCGTTTGTGGAAAAAATAAAATTCTTCGTCTTCAGAAGGGTCAAGGCCCCATTTCACAAAATGATCTCAGCTCTATAACTGTTGTAAGCCTATGAAGACCAGGATTAGAATTGGTCTTTGGCAACCCATGCTTGTCGTAAGAGGATCGGGTGGTCAGGATCGCTGACATGGTTGACACATGTCATCACATCCCAATTGCATACATCAATGCTCATGGTGTTGATCACTGGATTGTCTGGTCCAGATTTAATTATTTACAGACCGCCGCCATATAGCTGGGAAATAGCTAAGTGCGGCGTTTAACAACCAACACATACACACATGTAAGCCTATGTAGGAGTTACGATCATCTTGGCGATCACAGTCACTTTGTGAAATGGGACACAGAATATCACATTGGTCAGCCCCCTTAGTTTCTGCATTGATGTTGTGCTGTTGTTCATTTCTCAAGGGTTTGTTTAGATGTAAATATTGTTTGTGGAGTAAGAGTTTGATGAATAATGAAGAACCCATTTGCAGATTCAAGGGCAGTCTCCAGCACCCTATTAAACCTAATGAGAACTGGTGGTTACCATCGGTAACAAGGTTGACTGTGTGTCACAGTGACCTTACAACATGCATTGTTGCTCATGACATCAACCACTGGTTTCCCATCCTCATTTTGAATATTTACATGCTGGTTGGACAGAGCTTTAATGGATCTGTCTGGTGTAAAGTATTATTCACATGCTGGTTGGACAGAGCTTTAATGGATCTGTCTGGTGTAAAGTATTATTCACATGCTGGTTGGACAGAGCTTTAATGGATCTGTCTGGTGTAAAGTATTATTTACATGCTGGTTGGACAGAGCTTTAATGGATCTGTCTGGTGTAAAGTATTATTCACATGCTGGTTGGACAGAGCTTTAATGGATCTGTCTGGTGTAAAGTAATATTCCCATGCTGGTTGGACAGAGCTTTAATGGATCTGTCTGGTGTAAAGTAATATTTACATGCAGGTTGGACAGAGCTTTAATGGATCTGTCTGGTGTAAAGTAATATTTACATGCAGGTTGGACAGAGCTTTAATGGATCTGTTGGTTGGACAGAGCTTTAATGGATCTGTCTGGTGTAAAGTAATATTCCCATGCTGGTTGGACAGAGCTTTAATGGATCTGTCTGGTGTAAAGTAATATTCCCATGCTGGTTGGACAGAGCTTTAATGGATCTGTCTGGTGTAAAGTAATATTCCCATGCTGGTTGGACAGAGCTTTAATGGATCTGTCTGGTGTAAAGTAATATTCCCATGCTCAGTTGTGGAAATCTAGAGTTGAGTTCAGTCTTTGTTTTCAAGTTAGAATATCATAGATGCCTCATTGTAAATTGTTTACTTGTATTACTTTCTTGTGTGAAACCTGTCTTGTTCTTTCTTACTTGTACTTTCAATATCCCTTGGTCCCATATCAGGAAGCATTGTAGTGCTGAAACATCTAGTAAATCCCATATTAAATGCACTTCTGACAATCATAGCATTGCAATTGCTTTGTGAAATGAGCCAGAGTTATTAGAGCATGTTTCATTTACATATAGAAGTTCCTCATCAACCAATTACAAAACTGATATCCAGGCCTACCAAAGAAAACTTTCCCACTGTGCAGAAAAACACAGAAAAGTCAACATTAATCGTGGAAATGCGATCGAGACTTTCTCTTCCAAAATCGAAGTTGCAGGCTCTTAGTATTTTTATATAGGGGGCGGTGGGGTACCCTAGTGGTTAAAGCGTTCACTCGTCACGCCGAAGACCCGGGTTCGATTCCCCACATGGGTACAATGTGTGAAGCCCATTTCTGGTGTGCCCCGCCGTGATATTGCTGCAATATTGCTAAAAGCGGCGTAAAACCATACTCATTCACTCACTCGTATTTTTATCCAGTTTTAGAGATTTAAAGTTACTGTTTTTACGGTTCCAGTAGCGAGGTTTTATGTTTATGTTGCTATTTCCACGATTAATGTGGACTATTCAGTGTTTTTCTGCACAGTGGGAAAGTTATCTTTGGTAGGCCTGATATCTGTAAAGGTGTTAGTACTGTCATGTGATATTTCATGGATCTGTAGAAGCATATCGTGATGCCATGTTGTGTCATGATAATTTACTCTCTTACTCAAATATGTCCAACTATTATAGGGTTTTGTGGTCGAAGCATCCATTCAAAACTGGGAGTCCTGGGGACTCCCCACATCAGGGCATATTTTTCAAAACTGGGAGTCCTGGGGATTTGGGGCATATTTTTTTGAGAGTCCATTTCCAAAATTGGGAGTCCATCAATTTGCATGAAATCAATGATCATGGATGCTTCCCATTTCATAATGATTATGCTTTAATATGTGTTAGTTTCAATGTCATTAGAATAGTGATTGTAAACAGAATGTTTATATTTTAATATGGGATATCATTACAAATTCATGAAGTTCTTTCCCAGAAGAAAATTATATTACGTCCACATGGACGCACATGATTTTAGTTTAGGGGTACATCATCAAATTTCTGAGTCCAATGCGCAGGAATCATGCGTCCCGTAAAACCCTGCACATGGGTACAATATGTGAAGCCCATTTCTGGTGTCCCCCGCCGTGATATTAATGGAATATTGACAAAAACTATATAAAACTAAACTCACTCACTCACTCATTGAAACATACTCACTATGATAGAAGGATAAAGCATCTGCAGGGATAGTGGAAACTTGACAGTTCCACCCACTGTTTACATCATATCAAATGATGTGACAAGATGGTACTTGTTGTTCCCCTGCCTGGAACATGGCAATGATATGCATCAGGAGTAAAACAAGAACTGGCCAGTCAGTACATTGTGTCTGAGTGGAAGATACACACTGACCTGCATTGTGGTATTGCATGGAGCTATCACTTTAAAATTAGCATGCAGATCGTCATATGTATGAGAGCAGTAATTTTGACTTGACTTGATTATTTACAGACTGTTATGAAGATCCGCTTTACAATTAGTCTTCAGTAACCCATGCTTGTCGTAAGACGCGACTAATGCGATCAGGTGGTCAGGCTCGCTGACTTGGTTGACACCTGTCATCGTATCCCAATTGCTTAGAACAATGCTCATGATGTTGATTACTGAATTGTGTGGTCCAGACTCGATTATTTACAGATCGCCACCATATAGCTGGAATATTGCTGAGTGCGGCATTAAACAACAAACAAACTAATAATTCCTTCGAGTGGGTTTTATGTGTAAAGCCAACTTCACGCATTCCTTGCCATGATATTGCTGGAGTAATTCTAAAAGCAGCATTAAAATACATACTCACCAACTATTCAACCCGCCATATAGCTGGAATATTGCTGAATGTGGTTGGTTTAAAACCAAACCCACTCACTCACTATTCAACCCGACATACTGTTATATTCCCATGTGTCACTTTCAGATCGGAGTTGATGACAACAGCATATCAGTCTGAAGAGATGACACCACGCTACATGACAACAATACGGAGTTCCCCGCCCTTGAGTCTGTCTGAGTCGACGCCCACGCACACGGAACACACCGAGGGAACGCCCAGTTTCACAGCTTCCAGTCCTAGCTGTTCCAGTGATGTTCTGGGTAATGCGGCCAGCACTTGCACATGTAATTTCTGCTTGATATCATAATTTGACTCGCAACTTGATTCATATATGTTTTTAAGGGGAAAAGAAATTTGGATGGTTGTGCGTGAGAGTTCTTTACCCAGGGATTGGGAAAGGCAGGCGCCATGGGCCATTTTGCACATTAGAATAAAAAATGGCCCATTAAAATTTTGAAGTTTACTATTGATACAAGGGCAGTGGCCCTTTCTAAATTCAGAAAATGGTTAATAATCCTGAATACTGCCCATTGTCAAAGTTCTCTATCCCAATCCCTGTACATTACCATGTGTATAAATTTACTACTAGCAATAACTCAACTTCTTTTTATATATTAAAAATTGGATCAAATCTTTGAAGGGCATTACGAAGTGGAATACGTAAGGAAAGCAAGGTTTATGGATGTCAACGTCTTTATTGTGAATAACATACTAAAGGAGCCAAGCATACACTCCGAAACGTCGTGTTATTCACATTGAAGAAGTTGACATCCATAAATCTTGCTTTTCTTATTAAAAATTGAATGAAAAATTTGATTCAGAAGTATAAAATACATTATCAGTGTTAAACATTTGAGTGATTGTGTTGAAGAATTCTTGATTATTACACACTGTTAATAACATATCATTAAATATCATGAATAATGCATAAAAACTGGAATTTGACTTTGGTATAATTATAATATATTTAACATTTTGAACGATATTTAGTTTGGCCATGTTATTGTCAATTATTATTCAGAGGTTAATTTTTTAAACAGAACATTCTGGACATATGTGAGCCCATGCCTCAAGAAATACAGTGGAAGCCCTCTAAACCGGCATTCATTGGGACCGGCAAAAAATGCCCGTTTAGAGAACTTTTCCCTTTTCAACCTGAGAATTATCTACCGTGTGCCTTAAAATACGACTGAACAACGTGTTGATAGTCATCATGTTGAGTCAAAAACAAATCATGCGTCAGTGTTAATTTTGTCAAGTTTACTATTTTCATTCACACGACAATTAATTTATAATACAATTGACACGTGTCACTCACCAATTTACCTCACCTACTAAGGCCTAATCCTTATCCACTGGTAATCCATCAGCCAATCAACAGGAGAGCCGAGATACTGGATGCCGGTTTAGAGAGTGTTAGTTACTGTGCAAACAGTCTATTAGGCGGTCTTTCTTGTGCCGAAATACGGAATAGACTGATGCCTGATTAGAGGGGCGTGAAAATGATCATAAATTAATTAGCTTCTGCCGAGACCAAATTCTAGTGCCAATGTTGAGGGCATGCCAGATTGGAGGGCGGCCTGTTTAGAGGGCTTCCACTGTATAATGAAAGAATTTTAATCTAGGAACTGATGCTTTGCAATTAGATTTAGACATACAACTTCAATGCTGCATACTAAAATTGTATATTTTATATCCCAGCCAAATAAATACTATTTTGATATGATCAGTGATAGGATATGTCAGTAATTCAATGTCTTGTTCTGTGATTGCAAGTACAGAAAAATACATTTTATTATTTATCAAGGACATTGGAATGTCAGGGGGAAATAACTCCTGTGTTATAAGGGAGAATATATTAGAATGGTCTCCCTTAGAACACTCACTCATATTTGTACTAGACCCAGCCATTTCTAAGATTAGATTCAATGAAAGATTTCCAAGAGTGATATATCCAATTTCAGAGACTGCTTTCTTATTTCAGATTAAACTATTTTTTAATTTTAATTAACGATTGATTGAATCAAGTTGCTCGTCAGTCACAGCCTAACACATTTCTCTTTCCTCTTATTTCACATAATTTTATATCATATTTATTTGTAGACTTTAAATGTAGATAGAATGCAATAATCCTGTTCTTAACCTCTCGCTCTCTCACTTGTTTTTCTCATCAATTTGAGTGATATTTTAAAAATTAGTCATATATTTCTCCTGGCTTTAATCATAGACATTTGTGTGATTGTTTCATGTTTAATTTAAATGTTTTTAAAAGGTATGTTTGATTGAGATATTTTTTTTTTGTCTGTACTGTAATTACAGACACCTGGGGCGGTGGAATATCCTAGTGGCTAAAGCGTTCCCTTGTCACGCCAAAGGCCCAGGTTCAATTCCCCACGTGGGTACAATGTGTGAAGCCCATTTCTGGTGTCCCCCGCCGTGATATTGTTGGAATATTGCTAAAAGCGGCGTAAAACTGAACTCACTACAGACACTTGAGTGCAATCAGATGATGTATTATATCATACTGATTAAAGTTTGGATCATTACCAAAGGTGTGGGTTTAAAAAACAACTGCATTTCTAAACATTCTAAATTAAGTTTAAGTGTTTTCTTTTGATATTTGAGGTCAAGTATGTTTGAAAAAGGGGAAGAATTCAGTTGCAGCTTGGTAAAATTAGGAGTAATTAAATCATTGAAAATGTCAAAATTATTATAAATATGGGGAAATTCATTGCTGAGGGCAAACCATTGTAAATATAATTGTGAGAACACAGTATGTCACAAAAGGGATTTGTAGATGAGATGTCATTTATAGTTTGGATTCCTTTCTGTCTAAACCTTACCATAATTCTATTCCTCACTAATGAAAGGAGTCATTAATCAGTCTACATGTTGTGACTATGTATATCCTTGCTTTATCACTTGCTTTCACATGACCCGGGTTCGATTCCCCACATGGGTACAATGTGTGAAGCCCATTCTTGTGTCACCCGCCTGATATTTCTGGAATATTGCTAAAAGCAAGCCTTATGATAGGATTGAAACTACATGTGAACACGATTGATGCTTAGTATGGAAATAAACATGCTTGAAAGTTCAGAAATTAAGAAATGGATTGTCAATATACATGAAATGGAAGAGGTTTCAGAGCTATTATTACTTCATATCTAGCCTTCATAAATTGCATATTCATCAAATTCCATGTCTCCAAGGTATTCTCATTTGCGCTCTCAAATTCAACAAAGACACCTAAACCTCTTTATGAATGATCTGTGTCACACATGGAAAAACACATTTCTCTTCCTGGATTTTAAAGAAAAATAATTATTTTTCCTTATCCTGACTCATGCTCTTTTGCTTGTCCCCTTCCTCTTGCGAACATAGTGGAACACTTGTATCTCCTTAATTGAAGCTCCCTTCAATGTAAAATCACTAATTGGTACTCACCCACGAGTTACCTCCCCTGCCGTAAGCGCGGGAACAGGTGTCGCCACCCTCTGGCCTCATGCTTCACTCTCTCCTTCTTCGCCCAGTGAGCAGGATGTGAGAGCCTGTGTCTCTTACACACTATATCCTTTGGTTTTCTTAGTTAGTTACCTTTTTATAGTTTACTATAAAGGTATAGCTAGTATCCTTCAGTTATTTGCGTTAATAATTAATCATTATTATCTACTGTTTATTCACGTGAGTTAAGTGATTGTTCAGCTAGTTTTACATTGATGAAAAACTGTACTATTTATGTAGATTACGTTTTCCGCTCGCGGATCCGCATGTGGTATGCCCTAGTTGTACTAAGCCTTGTCGCGTTTGACTCACGTTACTGCAGTTACTGCATAAATTTAACCAATTCTGCCTTTGATAAATACCATCTTTGCGTCTTGAGGCGTGTTGCAGATAGAGTCACGCAAACTAGGTGTAGACATGGCGACGTCGTGGATTGCCCATCCAGTCAACTGCTGTCGAGTGATCCCCTCCCGTCTGGTGTTCTGCTTGAGACCCCATCGAAGAGGGCGATGGGATGCAGTCCGTCACCTCTAAGCGACCGGCCTCTCCAGACATCCAGTCATCATGAGACAAAGTCCAAGAGGGCCTCAAGCGTCTTCTCCAGCGGACTTAGGTACCCCAGGGCAGCGTCTTCCTCAAAGGAAATCTGAAGTCATCGAGAACTTTCTCAGGCGAGATCGTTCCAGCAGCAGAATTGGGCCTCTCACGATGACCAGCCGATCATCATACCCGACATATCGCATACAAGCGACCAGTGACAGCGACAGTGGCGTCAGCAGAGATCAACAACAAGCAGCCTGATGCCTCTACACTGATGTCAGGCGAGATCGCTGAGGGCCCCACCGCTAACACAGCAGAAAGGGCACCATCTACTACGTGCAGATCATCCCAAACGATCTTATGAAACAGATCATGATTATGATGGAAGGCCACTATAGACTGGAGAAGCAGCCATCCCAGGGTCCGAGCCTTGGCGAAGGCTCCAACGTGAACAGCACCCCAGGGCACCATCTGTCAGCGTAGCAGCCACGACAATGCAGCCTTCGGCGAGCGAAGTCACAGACCACCTCGACGAAGGACCCAGATGTACAGCCTTGGCGCGAAGGCCTTCGCTGGCGCGGAAGAATCATCACCTTCTTCGGCGTCATACTCAGATATGGAATCTGATCACCAGACCACCACGCAAGCCTTCGGCGAAGGTCATATCATCGTTCCCCAGGACCCGGACGCATACGGCTTCGCGAAGCGTTCGCGAAGGACACCTGAACCCAGATCGTCTTCATCTAAAAAGATCAGCAAGGGACTACACAAGAGCCGGCGAAGCTATCAGTCCCCTCATAGATCGCCAAGAAGGTCAACCTATCGATATAGATCACCAAGGCGATCACCTCACGATCACCACGTCGATCACCTCACAGGTCTGCACACCAAGCCTACAACTAGATCTCCACAAAGCGTCAAAACGATATAGAGATAGAGCCACACAGCCCTACATCAGAAGAGCAACAACCTCTTATCTATGATGATGGAATGGAAGATGATGGAGGAATTATTTTCTCAGATGCAGAGATAAGATATTGGATGGTCAATAATCTAGATCTCTCATCACCTTCCAAGAGTGGCAATAAGGCAGACTTATCTGATGAAAGAAGATGGCGCAGATGCTATTACACTACCCCAAATCGACCCGATTAAAGGTACCTCAGAACCTAGATACAGCATTTAACAAAGCCACAAAGGTTCAGGCGCCACATCTGCCAAATTTCAGCCAAGAAGTTCT